TATTTGTAAGGGTTAAATGTGATTCTATGTAAAACACTTTGCAGACCTTAATAGGCTATTTTAATTAATTTAATTCATTTATTTGTTTAATATTAATTAACTGATATATAATTAATATATTAAATCTATTGTTATATTATGTCTGTGTCCCACCCAGAGAACTGCTCCTTATTTGCTTTCATCACGACCCAAGCTTAAAAAAAATCTAGTAAATGAGTCATATAGGTAACAGGATGACCTAGAAGTGAACTGGGAAGAGGTGACCCATTCCAATTTAGATCTTTGGTTCCCCTCCCCCACCCCACTTTCACACACTCATGTGTCCCTCATGGAATGCCACAAGTTGAACTTGGGGCAGCCTCTGCCACTCAGGGCTCCTTCCAAGCCTCTCAAAGGGACTTTGTGAACAGAACTGTTTTTAATCCCAGGTACGGGGGTCGCTGCCTAGGAACTTTAACTGATGTAACTAACTCAAGTGGTCAAAGACTCCTCTCTGCTGTCCCCTTATAGGCCTGGCCCAGCTAGATTGGGGGTTTCAGATCTCCCTTGTGTAAACTCCACCAAGACAGGAACCCAATGGACCTCCACTGGATGAACCAGTTTTTCAGCCATTTCATAAGCTGGTTCCCTCCTCCCTTTCCAGTCTTCTTCCTTCCCAGTGTGTACTCTTTGACCCAATGATTGGCCTCCTGGTTGTCCCACAAATAAGACCTTCTAGGTCTTGGCTCCAGGCATTTTCTCTGGCTGTCCCTCATGCCTGGAATTCTCTCCCTCCTCTGCTCCAACTGCTGACCTCCCTGGCTTCCTTTAAGTCCCAACTAAAATCCCACCTTCTACAGGAAGCCTTCCCCAACCCCTCTTAATCCTAATGCCTTCCCTCTGTTAGTTATCTCCTATTTATCCTGCTTATAGCCTGCTTTATATATATAGTATTGTAAGGTCTTTGAGGGCAGGCACTGTCTTTTGCCAGTGCTCAGAAGTGCTTGGCACAAAGTAGGAGCTTAATAAATGTTGATTGAGTGATTGACCCTCATCCACTCTCATTTCTAATCAAACTAGCCTGCTGGCTGTTCACTATAGGGTTTTTCATTTCCTGACTCCATGTCTTAATTGGTCAATCAATTAAGTACCTAATATGTACCAGCCATTTTGCTAAGTGCCAGGAATACAAAAAAAATTTAAAAATAAAAAGATAGTCCCTGCCCTCAAGGAGCTTACAATCTACACAAAAGACAAAAGGAAGCTGAAAAAAGGGAAGGAGGGGAAGTTACCCAGTGAAGGGGAGGGCATGATGGCAAAGTCCAGAAGAGTGTAGCTGTGTCGGAAATGAAGAGATACTTGGCCAGCTTCCATGTCTGGAATGCACTGCCTCACCTCTGGCTCCTGGGTTCCTTCAAAGCACAGACCAAAGTACCACCATGAGGCCTCTCCTGATCATCATCTCTTTGTATCTATGGTAGAGCCCACCTGGAAGTCAGGAAGTCCTGGGTTCAAATCCTGCCTCTGCCAGAACTCCACCTCAGTGACCCAGGAAACTCTAAGTTACAGGTGAGTTGGGACTTTCCACACTGGGAGTTCCCCATACTGATGAAATCAAGAGTCTAGACTTTAAAAAAATAATGTGTATTTACTTACCTGTATGCTGTTGTTCAGTCATTCCAGAGGTGTCTGACTTTTTGTGACCCCATTTGGGGTTTTCTTGGCACAGATACTGGAGTGGTTTGCCATTTCCTTCTCCAGCTCATTTGACAGATGAGGAAATTGAGGCAAGCAGGATTAAGTGACTTGCCCATGTTCACACGGCAAGGAAGTGTCTGAGGCCAGAAGATGAGTCTTCCTGTCTCCAGACCCAGTACTCTGTCACCTAGATGTATACAGACTATAAACCCCACTACAACCCCTGCTGAGGTCATATTTCACTTTTATGTACCCAGCAAAGTGCTCTGCACCCAGCAGGCACTTAATAAATGTTGAATTAAAAAGCCATAGAATGAGGGGCAGCTAGGTGGCGCAGTGGATAGAGCACCGGCACTGAAGTCAGGAGGACCCGACTTCAAATCCGGCCTCAGACCAAACACTTGACACTTACTAGCTGTGTGACCCTGGGCAAGTCACTTAACCCCAATTGCCTAAAAAAAAAATCTATAGAATGGTTTCTTGGTGTTTAGCAGAGTGCCTGGCATATACTAGGTGCTTAATAAATGCTTATGATTGGTCAATTGTGGGTTATACTACATGTTCTCTGAGGTTCCTTCCAACTCTGGGCTTCTGTAGCTCTCTAAATTTTATATCTCCTCTGGTGTTCCACATACAGGCTCTTAACACGTCCTTAATGAATGAAGAAGAGGAGGGAAGGATGGGTGAGACCCACAGGTATGGCCCAATGGAAAGAGCACAGGCTCTGGAGTCAGAAAACATGGACTGAAATGCCATTCCTGCTGTTTCCTCCTGTGTGACCTTGGGCCAGTCACTAGGCCTCAGTTTCCCCATCTGCAAAAAAAAGGGGTTGGGACTAGATGGTCCTTGAGCTTCTTTCTAGTTCTACATGACCAAAAGAAAAAAAATTCTACAAGGGAACTTACCAAAACAAATAATTTAAGAGTTAGTCATTCACATTACCAGTAATATTGCCGAAGCACTCAGTCCAAGGCCCCTTTAGCCGATTCCCACAGTCCTCTGCTTCCTCCCCCCGGGGCCAGCGGCAGGAAGCCAATGTCTAGTCACAAACTGCTTGGGCATCATCCCAAGGGCTTGGCTACTCAGCGGACCCCCAAACAGCCTTCTCTTTTTTTTCCTAACTGAACGAGCAATTGTTCTGGTGTGGACTTCGGGGGCAGGCGCCCTGCTTTCAACCTTGGGTGGTTCACTGATGTCTTTGTAAGCCACTTCTTCATAGCCGAGTGCTTTACACAATAAAGTACTAATCGTGTCCTGTTCTTGGCAGCTCAAGGAGAGTAGCGACAGACCATACACATGAGGGAATACCAGAAGCCAAGCTGTGCAGGGTAGCCATGTGGCACCATAGTGCATAGAGTGCCATGACTGGAATCAGGAAGACTCTTCCTGAATTCAAATCTGGCTTCAGACACTTACTAGCTCTGTGACCTTGCACAAGTCACTTCACCCTGTTTGCCTCAGTTTCCTCATCTGTAAAATGAGCTGGAGAAGGAAATGGCAAACTACTCCCATATCTCTGCCAAGAAAACCCCAAATGGGATCATAAATCACCGTCAAAGTGCTAACCTGAAATCACAGAGGGAAATTTCCTCACCAGGGTTTCCTATGCCAATAAACTCTCAAGTCCAGACCCTATCCCTACCCCTACATACACTAAATAATTAAGTCATTTAATCAATTTTTATAAATTGCATACATTTCATTAAGTAATAAGGTAATTTCAAGAGAGAAAGAATAATAAGCACTGAGGAAATGAGGAAGACCCTCGTCTTAGAGCCGGTGTCTGAGCCAGGCTTTGAAGGAAGCCCAGGATTTTAAAAGGCAGAAGTGAGGAGGGAACATATGGGGAATTTGTGCAAATGCAATGAGATGGCTCAAGATAGAATGGTTTTGTCCTGGCAGTAGCTAGCTGGTCACTTTAACTAGAACAGCAATTAAAAAAATATTCAGCCCATCTATCACCCTCTTTATGGTGGGCTTCTCCAGCTATTGAGGGAGAAGCACATGTGGGCCTAGAGCTGTCGGCATTGGTGAAATGGAGGTGCATCTTCCTTCCCCAATGTCAGTGAAGCTGGTAACTCGGTGGGTACACAACTCACTGGCTTCTGGGTCTGGAAACCTAGAATCTTATCGATGCCCCTGATGGTATCTGACCTTAGGGAAGCCATTAATTGTCATTCACAATTTCCTCATCTGTGACATTGGAATAATGCTGCTTCCTGATTTCCCTTAAAGAGGCTGGATCCATTTGAAGCAATTCTCTGCATGTACCAAGTATCCCATAAATATTTCTTTGAATAAATGTTGGGCAAAATGAGGCCATCTTTAAACTGTTTTGATCTCCTTTTAAAGAAAGCCTATTTCTTAGAATCTCTAGATTCTAAGACACACAATCCTTGCATATAGTTCACAACACTCCCAAATCAGATTTGAACCAGATTAAAATGTAATTGGGAAATTTTAACAAAATAAATAAAAATACAATAAAACATAATGTTCATGTGTGGTTTTCTGCATCAATATTCAGCTGCAGGGATCCTATGTACTATTTAGCAGCCCCTGTTTCTATTGGAGCTGGAACACATCATAAAAGGGATGGCAGCTAGTAGACGTTTGATAAGCACTTCCCTTTCTAAGAGTCAAGGAAGGATTATCAAGCATAGATTTTGGGGCAAGTAGGTGGATAGAGCACCAGCCTTGGAGTCAGGAGGACTCGAGTTCAAATTTCACTTCAGACACTTACTGTGTGACCCTAGGCAAGTGACTTAACCCCAGCTGCCTCCAAAAAAAAAAAAGAGATCTTGATTATAATCTCATTTCTCCTAGAAATGTGGGTAAGGAATATGAATATGTATTTCAACAAAGCATTTTACATAGTCTCTTATGATAACCTTGTAGATAAGGATCAAACAGTCAATAAACATTTACTAATCAGCTCCTAGGTCTCAGGCACAGTGCTAGAAGTCAACTGGCAGTATAGTAGGTAGAGTGCTGGGCCTGGAATCAGGAAGCCCTGAATTCAAATCCTACCTCAGACACTTAGTAGCTGTGTGACCCAGGGTTGAGATCCAAGTGAGATTAAAAAGTGCATGTCTGGTACACAGGGGTACACAGTATCCCCTTTCCTCTCTAAGCAGTGGAGATACAAAGACAGAGGACATGGGCTAAGCAATAATATGGTTACTTCGCTTCAGAACCATGTTACCCAAAGAGCGGTGATTAATGGACTTATAGAACTAGGCCTGATGGCTGGTAAGGTCCCAAAACTCCCATACTCCCAACCGCCAACAGAAAACCCTCTTTCAGAATAAGCACACCCAGTCCAACAGCTCGCTTGGATTTAATTTTCAGAAGACACAACTACTTATAATTCTTCCACCTGGCTGCAGAATATCTTTCAATTCAAGTCTTTATCATAATGGTGCCTTCATCTACAAAGCTGATACATGCTATTGAGTACAGAGTCAACATTTTGGTAATACAAAATCTTTTCTTTTGGTCATTCTAATAATATGCACTCAAGGGGCTCCTATGGGGGTAGAGATGGGGGAGAGGCATCACGCTTACAACTATAAAAGGGCGGGGGGAATCAAAGCTAGCAGGTAGAGTATGTCCTAGGAAGCCAGTGCATTTGACAATAGCATGTGAATAGCCGTCATAGCAGGGGAGGGCTTTTCCCCACCTGTTTTGTTAATCACTCGGCTGTGAGAGTTTTGAGTAATCTTGGCAATGACTAAGTTCTTATTTCTGCTAAGGATGCGATTTGGAGCTCCACATAGTAGCTTCACTTACTCTTCCACCATATTCAGAAGCAGCGATATTATGTATGGATAAAGGACTTTCCACCAAAAATCTTACATCTCAAATCAGTCAAATGGATACTACAAAGCACGCAGGCCAAGGGTTGGTTAATTTCTACTAGTTATGGAACCAAGTCTGAGCTCATGCTTGGCTGGGTGGGAGAACAGTTAATAGAATTGTAACACATTAATTCTGGCTTTGTAAATGCTCCCACTAGGCTCAAATCCCATCTTTAATTCAAATCTCAGAGGTGAATGGGGAAAGGGACCCTAAGGACCTAGTTCCCTCAAGATGCTCAAGTTTCAGCTAAGTGTCTCCCATGAGGGAGACAGCTTTTATTTACCCTGGAGAGGGATCGGGTTCTAATGCCCTTCTAACTGAAGGGGTCCATCCTCCCTGTCACGCAGACATTTCTCAGAACCCGTTCCAATCACAATGAAACAAGGGTTTTAATGACACTTGTTCTCTGGGCAGGGTCTATTTTTAGACTGGGCTAATGTGTTCTTTCTCTGTGGCTGAGAAGGGAGTGCTTGAAAAGTGGCTCGAGAGCCAGAAGGATGGGCCTGAATAGTTCGTGCAGTGATGGAAGCATTAATTAAAAAAAAAAAAGACTCTGAATTTGAAGGCCAAGGAATGAGAAGGGACAGCGACTTAGTCAAGACCATGAACTGAGTTACTTGGGTAAGTGGGAAGAAATACCACACGGGAATTCTCCTGGCTAATCTTGTCACCCAAGATGTAGACACAGCTATGGGGTGGAGGGTTGGGGAAGCCAGGGCAGCTTGAGGAAGCCCTCAGAAATGACAAGTTAGCAGCAGCTACAGAGTTCTTTCCATCACTTCAGAGTTTAAAATGTCTCCCTAGATGGGTGGCTTGCTTGGGAACGAGAATGCCATCCAGATAATATACTCCCCCCTGCACGACTTTTGGGTACCTGCTTCTCAAACGGACAGCTGTAACGAAACATCTTTCTCCTACACAAAATGCACTTAGTGAGAGAAATAATACTTGAGATCTCATGGACAGGGAAATGGAAAACCACTTCCCCCACCCCAACAGGCGTGCACACACACACACACACACACACACACACACACACACACACACACACACATGTTCCTTCAGGCTCTTTCCCCTTCCACTCAATTAAAGAGAGAAGCTCCTGGCCACCACCACCAACAGGCCGGCAATCATGGTTGCCTTGCTGACCGCAGTCCCCATCCCCGCAGCGTTGCACAGATCACGCTGGCAGCAAGCGTAGCGGGCACTGGCCACGGGAAAGGCTGCTCCAATCTTCTCCATGTTGCAGTTGGCATATTTCCAACAGGAATGGTAGTAAGCTCCACCTTTAAAAAGAAATACACACAGAAAACAAGTTATGAAAACAAGCAGTTGAGACATTACAGCTGTTGCTTCCAGAGCTCACAGAAAGGGAAAGGAAAAGCATAGGTACATAACATATAAAACCACAGATTTAGAGCTAGAAAGGATCTCTTAGACATCATTTAGTCTAATCCTCCTCATTTTACAAATGAGAAACAAGAGTCCCAGGAGGTTAATATCTTGCCAAAGGACATACAGGGAATAAAAAGCGAAGTTGGGATTAAAACTCTGACTCTGAAAACAGTGTACTTTTCACTATGCATAGTTGTGGGTTTGTTTTTTATCCTGATCTGTGATTTCGTCAGCTTTTTTTTTTTAAGGCAATTGGGGTTAAGTGACTTCCCCAGGGTCACACAGCTAGTAAGTGTCAAGTGTTTGGTCTGAGGCCGAATTTGAACTTAGGTCCTTCTGACTTCAGGGTCGGTGCTCTATCCACTGTGCCATCCAGCTACCCCTTCATCAGCTTTTGAATGGAGGTTGGAGGATGGGGGAGGGTGCTCCCAGTATGGACATTTCTTCCTCCAATTAGGATCAGCAGCTCATCTGCCGCTTACTTGAGAAGTGCTTGGGGGCACTGAAAGATCAAATAACTTGCCCATAGCTTGCCAGAAACATTTAACACTTACTAGCTGTGTGACCTTGGGCAAGTCACTTAACCCCATTGCTTAGCCAACAAATAAATAAACGAATGAATGAATGAATGAATGTAAACAAACAGTATTTTACAAAGAGACAAACTGAGGCAGGGAAGGAAGGATCCCTTGCATTTCACGTGGCTGTAGCTACCATTATGATTCTGTAAGTGAATTCATAAGAAAGAAGTAATTATTTTTTAGAGGTAAACTACAGTATGAGAGAGAATCCAGGAAACTGATGATCTAAATTTGAGGGAATCACAAGAAATCAAAAGCAATCTCACATACGGAAATGGGAATGTAGACGAAAATCAGAACCATGCCTGCGGCACTGGCAGGGACAAAGGTGCCCGGGTCAGCACCTCCAGCAAGCTTAGCTCTGAAGAGGCTGGCCTGCACAGATTTTATCAGTTGGTCAGTGACTTCAGATCTCCCACTTGGTTTCCCAAGTGGATCGCCCAGCTGGAAGAGCACCAGGAACGCTGGCTGACCCAGAGCCCGGGCAGGCCCCTTCTCATTCGTATCAGTTATCAGTGCATTATGAGGTCGGTCCTCTCGCCCCAAGTAATTGTCAGAATAACGGGAAGAGGACCAGAAGTTCCTAAGGCCCGGCCTGATCTTCCTAAGTGCGCTTCCAGCGGCACCAACACTGATCCCAAAAAAGTGCGACTTCCCTTGACACTAGCTGTGTGACGCTGGGCAAGTCACTTAACCCCAACTGCCTAAAAATAAAAAACAAAAAACAACAAGGTGCAACTCTAGCCTACAGCTGCGACCACGAAAGGGACGCTTAAAGAAAAGAAAAGGGGAGCTCCTCACCAGAAATAACCTGAAGGCATGCGTCGTCCTCCGCTCTACAAGTGACGTTCTTGGTACAGGGCTGTACGGGAGAGTCACACTGGAAGCATTTCAGAGCACTGCCTGCAACATAATAAGAAAAACTAACATCAAAGACCCGCCAGGTGGGCAAAATTTTGGATCATAGAATGACAGAACTAAGAAGGGATCTGAGAAACCAAATTTCCTCATTTCACAGATAAGGAAACTAAGGCAACCAAAGGTTCAACAACATGGCCAGGGTCACACAGCTACTAAGTCTCTGAGGCAGATTTGAACTTAGGTCTTCTTGTTCTGGGATAGTGTCTTATCCCCACTATTAAACCAAAACATCTCTCTTGACAAACACATGATAAGACACCAACACAAAGCCTATCCATGTCCTTCAGAGGCTTAAAGTCTAAGGCTGCCAATATGGGAGCACCTCAGTCCAGACTGTCTCAACCTGATGCTTGGCATACTCTCATCACGGCCTCTTAGGACTCTGGGCTTCCGTCAAGGTCGCGCTCACTACCTACACAAGCCCTTTCCTGATGCAACTGGCTGTCAGTGTGCTCTCCCTCCCAAATACTACTTAGAATAGCTTTGTGTTTGCTATTTATTTATCTGTATACATGTAAACTCCTTGTAAGCAGAGACTGTTTTAAAAAATTATTGGTATTTCCAGTGCCTTCTACTAGGAGCTTGATAAATAAATACATATGGAAATGGACAGGATGAACAGAAGAACATAAGCTCACAACTGAAGAGATGTTGAAGTTTTAATGATAAAGTATGTTTGACGGGTGGAGGGCAAGAATCCCAAGATCACCGATTTCGAGTTAGGAGGGACTTCCATTTTAATGCTATACTAATCAAGTGACCAAGGCGACTATTTATAAAACTTGATAAAATAATAACAAAATTCATTTGGAAAAATATGAGATCTAGAACATCAAGGGAAACTATGAAAAGAGATAGAGATGAGGGGAGAAGAGCGTTTGCAGACCTATACTGTAAAGCAGCAGTTATCAAAACCGCCTGGTAGGCATTAAAGAATAGAGCGATAGATCAATGGAACAGACTAGAAAAATGCGATTCAGAAATAATAGAACTCAATAACCCAGTGTTTGATTAAGTGGAAAATCTAAATTACCTAGGGAAAAATGTTCTCATTTGATAAAAACTGCTAGGAAAACTGGAAAGTAATCTGATAGAAACTGGGCTTAGATCAACATCTTATACTACATTCCATAATACATTTTAAGGATACACAACCTTAATATTAAAGATCATACTGTCACTGGCCCTGAAGTCAGGAGGACCTGAGTTCAAATCCGGCCTCAGACCAAACACTTGACATTTACTAGCTGTGTGACCCTGGGCAAATCACTTAACCCCAATTGCCTAAAAAAAACAAACCAAAAACCAAAAATAAAGATCATACTGTCAAAAAAAATTAGAAGAGAAACAGATCATATACCTCTCACAGCTATGCAGGAGAAGTGTTCTTAACCAAACAAGATATAGAGGTAAATTACAAAAGAGAAAACAGATAACTTTGATTACTCAAAACCAAAAAGTTTCTGCACAGACAACATTAATAAATCTAGGATAAGAAAGCAAGTGGTAGAATGTGAAAAAAAACAAAAAACAACTTAGTACCAGACTTCTCTGATAAGGGTTTAGTATCCAAGATGTACATCTAGACATATATAAACATACATATACATACACACAATGCCATTCTCCAATAGATAAATGATAAAAGAATATGAATTAACAGTTCTCAAAAGAACTGCAAAGTATTCAAAACCACATGAAAAAATGCTACAAATTCCTAACAATAAGAGAAATACAAATCAAAACAACCCTGTGCTTTTTATCTCATACCCTGAAAATTGGCAAAAAATGGCAAGTTATCGTTGGAGGGCTTGTGGAAAGATAGGTACATCAACACATCACTGGTGGAACAGTGAAACGGTATAACCATTTTGGAAAACAATTTCGAATTATGTAAATAACGTGACTAAAATGCCCACATCCTTTGAACCAGGGACTCCATCACTAGGCTTATACCCCAAGGAAGACATTAATAAGAAGACAGCTCCCTTATACTCCAAATTACTTAGAGTAGTACTTTTTTTGTGACGGCTGAGAATTAGAAACAAAGTAGATGCCCATTGATTAGGGGATGGCTACACAAACTGTGGTACATGAATGTAACAGAAAATGACTTTGCAAGAAGAAATAATGTGTATGGGGAATACAGAGAAGTATAGAAAGACCAATATGAATTGATGCAGAATAAAGTAACAGAACCGAGAAGACTAGATACGGTAACTACAGCAATGTAGATGGAAAGATGGACACACCAAAAAACCAGAAGTAATCATAACAAAATTTTAAAGACCAAGTGGGACTAAAATGAAGAGAGATGAGAAGAAATCCCTAGCCTGCCATCTCATGGAGCTGGAGGTCCACAGGTGTTACACATGGCACATGGTTTGACTTTTTCAATGTATCAATCCATCGTGCTGCTTTTTCCCCTTCTTTTCTCCTCCTATATGACTATTTGTCATACGCGATGGCTCCCTGAGAGGGGAAGAAGAGCAAAAGACACTTGGGATAACTATGATGATGTAAGAAACAGCAAATATCAATTAAAAAAAACAATTTTAAAGAAGCTACCTCCAGGGGCAGCCAGGTGGCGCGGTAGATAGAGCACCGGTTCTGAAGTCAGGACCTGAGTTCAAATCAGGCCTCAGATACGTAACACTTACTAGCTGTGTGACCGTGGGCAAGTCACTTAGCCCCAACTGCCAAAAAAAAAAAGGTACCTCCAACCATTGCTTCCCTTGTTGTGGCTGTCTTAAGACTCTAATTGAAAACAATATGATATAAATTCTTTGATGACTCAAAAAGGGAAAAAAAAACAACTCACAAATGACCCATTCCATTAGGGAACTGTCCATGTACGTGCATGTGTTTAATTTTTTATTATTATAATCTCCTCCATTTCCCAATGTATCCCTACCCTTCCCAGACAGCCCATCCCTTACGAAAAAAAAATTTTTGGTGAGGCAATTGGGGTTAAGTGACTTGCCCAGAGTCACACAGCGAGTGAGTGTTATGTGTCTTGAGGCCAGATTTGAACTCAGGTCCTCCTGACTCCAGGGCTGGTGCTCTATCCACTGCGCCCTGAAAAAATTTTTTTTAAATTGTAAAGTTAAGCAAAACTAACACATTGAAAAGACTTGACATTATATAAGTTCTACATACATAGTCTCTTTCTCTCTTACACACTCACACACCCTGTAAATAAAGAAAGATGGCGGCTTCTCCTATCCTTCTGACCCATGGCAGGGAGAATGGATTGTTGGAATGTAGAGAGCTGCCTTTGATCCAGTAAGACCTTTCCAGGTACCTAAAGGTAGAGGGCAGTACTTTCTAAGGAACCAAGGTCAAATTCCTGGCTCTGCTGGTGCTAACCCACATCCCAGTAACTCTAGCAAACCAGCTGAGTTCCTTCTGACCTATGTGGCTTTGCGTAAGTCACTTCCCAAGATTCTCCAATCTCAATTCCCTATTCTGTAAAAATGAGGCATGGGACTTCGTGATTTCTAAGTTTCCTCTAGAGCGCTAAAATCCCATGATTCTATGATTCCCAGTGGGAAATTCAGACTTGACAAAAACACTTTTCCTTAAGCTGCTCTCAGACACATGATACTCGCTAGCTGTGTGCCCCTGGGCAAGTCACTTAACCCCAACTGCCCAAAAAAAAAAAGCAAAACAAAACACCTGCTTTATCTGACACATAATGGTCCTTACTGACTGGCCTCCCTGGAGAAGCATCTTGAAACACGGGAATGGTTTAAACCCATTGGTAACTTAGGAGAGAACTTTCAGTTGAATGATGAGGTCAGAAGTCAGCCTGTACAGTGTAAAAGAAAGTTCTTGAAGGAAAGAAAAGGAAGTAGATGGACTTCTTAAGGAGTCTGGTCACAAAAAAGGAGAGATATGGGACAAGATCCGGCAGGGATGGAAAGATGGATCAAGTGAGCGTTTTTTTGAGGACGCAGGAGATAGGGCGTGTTTGTAAGCAGTTGGGAAGTAGCCAGTAGACAAGGGGAGACTGAAGATAAGTGATTGATAGAGGGGACAGTCTGCTAGAGAAGATGGGATAGAATGGGGTGCCTCCTGTGTATAGAGGGAGTGGCCTTGGCAAGAAGGGCCACTTATGATGTGAAACACAGAACTGAGAGTGACAGAAGGCATCTGGGTGAGGAGATAAGGAGGAGGAGAGAAGAGGAAGTCAGGGCTTTCTCTAAAATAAGGGTAAGGTTCTTAGCTGAGAGAAGACTTGAAGAAGGATGAAAAGGTCTGGGAGAGCTAACAGGAAAAGTGGGATAGTGACTTAACTAGGGAAGGAATGCCAGCAACAGGGAGGCCCAGTTAAGGCCGTGTTACATAAATTTGTGATGAGTCCAGTCAGCAAATTTTTGTATTTTTCTTTAATTATTTCCAACTTTAGTCAGCAGCACACAGATAAGAGTAAAGGCGGGGCTTGGTGGGAGTGATCCAAGGCCTGGGCAGAGCTGGGTAGAACTCTCACAGGGGAAAAAAAAAATGGACCTTCACTGGCAGCATTCGTGATGAAAAGACCAGAGCTGGGGAGGAACTCTGAAATACAAGCACAAGAATCCAGAGAAACATAGTCAGGTAAATTTCTTTGAGCAGCTGGAAGGAGCTATGTGATGAGGGGCTGTTAATGGAGAGAAAAAACAAGTATCTGCTCAGAATCCAATATCTTTAAAAAGTATTGAGGAAGGGCAGTTAGTAAATCAGAGGACCTAAGGGTAGGGCCTCTGTTCTGAGGGTTTTAAGATGAAGGATGGAAAAAGGAGGTGACAGGTTTGTGCAGAAAAAAGGAAAAGGGGGCTCTGATTCTTAAAACCTAGCCACTGGTTAGATTCTTATAATCTAGTCAATAGTTTACTAATGTTCAGACTCCTTAAGAGTCTGCCCAATATGAAGGATGTTCTAATAAACCCTGTCTTTGGCCGAAAGAAGGCTTGGGTTGAATTCTTTCAGGCAGGACCCAC